AGTGAAGTTACAAGAACTGGAGTTCGAGTTATAGGGGTAAATGTCAGTGAAATTTTGATCAAGGGAAAAGAAATTCAGTTCGAGTTAGCGGGGAGTTCGAGCTATCTGAGTTCGAGTTTTCGAAGTTCTACTCTAATTAAATCAGTATTTTCTATCAGAACGGTGGTTATTAACATCATCATCTATCACTTAGGGTACGGGTGGAGAACTCTCAGCTTGAGAATGCCTAAACTGCAAGAAAACTTCACAACAGTTATCGTGTGTCATCGTTACGAGAGACTCACAGTTTTTGCAAAACGTTTTCGCCATTATTTTGCTTTGAGCAAGTGAAGACGTTGAAAACTTTTTGAAAAAGCTGTTTACAAGTAAGATAAAGAAAAGAAGAAGAACCAGAAAGGTAGAGACGAAAGTAGCGTTTGGGTCTTAAAAAATGCTACCCTGTGAGCAGAGGCTACATTTTCTTCGCTGTGCGAGCTGTCGTGCAAAAAGTTCAAATCTGTCCAGAAATCTGGATGAATAAACTTAAAAACTCGGTTTTTTTCCTATTCTTGACCGGTTTAGAGCATTGCATGAGTGTTGCGTAGCAGATCAGAGACTGTTGCATTTTTTTTATTCCCGCGAAACTCGTGCCATTTGACGACAGACCTGACGATTAATTTTGCTTTCGAATCGCGTGGCGAATCTCTCGCATGCTCGTTAGAAAATTGAACGGTTGTTGGCAGAGGCCACTTTTCGCACGCCAGCTCACACAGCGAAAATATAGCCTCCGCTTGCAGAGTAAAAAAATTCCTAAACTAGCCCAAATCCTCTAACAGTCAACGAAATTGTACGAAGCAGGTATCTGTATCAGTCTTTGTTCTTTCCTGATCATAGTACAAATACATTCCATGTTGCACTGGGTCTGTTCAGTAATCATTAGTAATAGATCTCAGAAGACGTCAAAATGTGGTGAAAACATCTGTGACACACTCGCCTGCGGCTCGTGTGCCACTTGTTTGATTTTACCTTATTTTGACGTCATCTATGATCTATTACTGAACAGACGTACGGCAGCATGGAATCTGTTTGTTCAAATTGCCAGCATGCTCCACACAAGCGGCGTAAGAAAAAGTGTAAGCATAACATGGCTCTCGTGACAATAATTGAAGGGAACACAGCAGTGATCATTTCCATTTAAACCCTTAAAGTTTCAAGAGTGAGCAACATCAATTTTCTATCAACATGATCCATATATTAACAAAGGTTATGAGAAATAATAAAATCTTTCATTTTCATATTACAACAAAGACTCTAAACGTCAAGTTTTCAGTAACTTTTCCACAAGGTAACGGTGCAAAATGCTAACGGCAGGCTCCATAGGTTCGTCAGTGTAGTGAATGGAATCCCGTGTCCCTTTTGGCCATGCAGCGGTCAGCGGATACATATCAAGAACTGGAATCCCTGCCTTGCACATGGCGCTTGTGGCGTAGGTATTGAAGAGCTGAACTCTCTTTCGAATAAAAGAAAATAGTGAGATTTATATCGCCGGATATACTGAAGCGAAGGTAGCGAGTAGAGAGCACCTCTTTGT